GGATTGTGATGGAAGTGTAGGAGTAGAATTGTGTGGTCATAAAAGATCTTTCTGTGTGCCATTTAAGCTGCCAGCTAGAAGCTGAGAAAAAGCAAGCCCTGTGAAAGTCTAAAAGGAGGAAATTCTGGACAGAGAGAAAAATGGATAACAATTGTTTGTCATTTTGCTTTTAACATCTTCGAATGACCAGGAATCAGGGAGTGGGGTTAACCATCATCATCATTTTTAACGTGTAGAAAAGAAAATGTGCAAATGAGAATCTGGAACATTGTAGGTGCTTTGTGAATAAATGTTCTTATTTTTCCTTTTTTATTAAGGCTTGCTATAGTTTTTGAAGTTATTTCTTAATTGGAAAAGAGTGGCAGAATTTATCTTGTTTGCATTTATTTAAACATAGCATAAACAGAAGTTTCCCTTACTAGTCATTTCATTCAACTGTTTTTATATCAGTAAAAATGTTACCAAGAAAAATTTTACTTTCTTCAAGCCCTTGTTTACCTAAATGAAGCAGCTTCTTCAGTGTTCTGTTTATACACAACATGGAGTACTCCAAAGTTTTTTTATCATGCCAATTATCTTCTTTTAATAATAAAAACTTTTATAATTAAGAATAACTTAAATGTTTAATGCTGTAATATAGCAAATGTATGTTTTAATGCCCTCTTTTGATCGAGATTGCAAATTAGAGTTAGGTCTTCTGAAGTGAGTGTCTGTTGAAATATGCACCTAAGTTAATACTTTGTCTGTAAATAGATTTCCTTTTGCCTACCATAGTCAGTTTTACAGAATCAATAGCCTAATGAAGATAAATAATAAGCTCCATCTAAAGAGCGTATGTGAGGTTCTCTGTTGAAATGTTTTGGTTTTCAGGCTGGGCACAGTGGTCCATGCCTGTAATCCCAGCACTTCGGGAGGCCAATGCGGGTGGATCACTTGAGGTCCGGAGTTCAACACCAGCCTAGCCAACACAGTGAAATTCCATCTCTACTAAAAATAGAAAAATTAGCTTGGTATGGTGGCATCTGTCTGTAATCCCAGCTCATCAGGAGGCTGAGGCAGGAGAATCGCTTGAACCCAGGAGGTGTGGAGGTTGCAGTGAGCCGAGATCGCGCCATTGCACTCCAGCCTGGGCTCTCAAAAAAAAAAAAAAAAAGTTTTGTTTTTCAGTACCTACTTCTCTTATTTTTAAGTCTAATTGCTTTTAATATAGGCAGTTTGGATTTTTAAAATAAGTGATTAGGAAATCTTTGAGCAACTGATTGTTAACTTTGTATTGAAACTCATTATTGATATTAATTTTAACAGAGTATCTCCTACAAGAACCTTCTCCAAAAGCCTGGTGGTCATCGATCTGGGCCTGCTGATCAACAGAGGAAAAGTGCAGTAAATAGAAATGTAGATGGTAATAAACGTATTTTATTTTTAGAAGCATTTAACATAATGTTTACTTGAAAACACCATCACTGATGTATTATAACAAGCAAAGGAAGGTCACTTACTAAATGCACAGTAAGAAAAAGAAAAGTGGAAAGTTGATAAATAGTGTATTTTAACAGACATCTTACAAGAGAGTAAATTGAGAGTGCCACTAAAGGAGCTGAATTAATAGCTCCATTTCACGATATTCTGATAATCTGAGGAAAGTCAGGAAATAAGAAAGGAGAGAAGAGAAAATAGAGAATGAGAAAGGCAGTGAGTGCAGTGCATAAAAGAAAAGGTACATATGATGGAAGTTGGCAAAATACAGTAATTCCTTAGAAAAAGGAAGAAAAGGGTTTTAGAAAAGTGGGAAGAAGATAATAGTGGGCTTCGAGCACCAAAACTTGTCGGAGAATTAGAGCAAAATGTTTCATTCTTCCTGTCTTCCTCATTGATGGAAGAACCTGACCAGGCAGAGCTATGTTTTATCTACCGTAGGTGAATATAAGCATATATGGTCATCTATGCATGTATACAATTGAATATCATATACAGCCAGTCTAGAACAGAACTCACACTTCAGTAAATCACCTGGGGGCCTTGTTAAAATGCGTATTCTGCTTCAGCAGGCCTGGGATTCTGCATTTCTATTAAGTTCTCAGGTGATGCTGATGCTGCTGATCCTCGAGCGATGCTCTTGAGTGGCAAGGTTATAGACTTTTTCCTGTATAGAAATTGGATAGAAGAGGCACTGGGGAGCAGTTGAAGACATAACAGGCTCAGAGGACAGCATGATTTTGCTTTTGTTCGAGAGCACATTTCTAGCCAGAGGGAAAGTAGAGATGAAGAAACAGAAATTAGAGCTGTAAGAAACTGTTGCTATAAAGGGGAGATATGGTTGGAGTAATCCATAAAAAATGTGGAATGGGAAGAATCAAGACCACAGATGTGGAAATGTTCACAAGGTAGATGGATTGTGAGCAAGGGCAGAGGGGAAAGAAAGAAGTTAGGTAATTTTGAAGTTTCTGATGAGAAAACATATCCATCTGTGCCATTGTAAATGACAGGATCTCAATTCTTTTTTATGGCTGGACAGTACTCCATTGTGTATATGTACTTTTTTTGTCCATTTATTGGTGTACAAATAGGTTGATTTTACGTTTTGGATTTTGTGAAGACTGCTGCAGTAAACCTAAGAAGGCAGATACCTCTTCAGTTTACTGATTCCCCTGCTTTTTAAGTATATACCTAGCAATGGGATTGCTGGATCATACGGTAGTTCCATTTTTAGCTTTTGGGGGTTTTATTTTTTTAGACATACAAAAAAAAGTCGCCTGGTCTTAAGCGATCCTCGCACATCAGCCTCCCAAGTGGCTGGGACCACTGGTGCGTGATTCCATGCCTGGCCAAATTTTTTCACTTTTGGTAGAGACAGGATTTCAACCTATTGGCCAGGCTGGTGTCAGACTCCTCAGCTCAAGCAGTCCTGTTGCCTTGGCCTCCCACAGTGTTGGAATTACAGTTGTGAGCCCCCACACCTGGCATGACTTCAGTTTTTTGAGGACTCTCCACAGTACCCTCCATGGTTGCTGTAGTAATTTACATGGCCACAATGTATGAGGGTTCCCCTTTCTCCACATCCTCATCAGCACTCGTTATACCCTGTCATTTGGGTAAAAGCTGTTTTAACTGGGGTAGTGAGATGATATCTCACTGTCATTTTTATTTGCATTTCTCTGTTGATGAATGGTGTTGAGCACCCAACCATATACCTGTTTGCCATTGGATTGCTGTTGGATAGCAGTTCAAAACGTAACAGGGCCAAGGGTAGGTGTTGTTTTGCTTTTATTTCTGAACGTGTTTCCAGCCAGGTGGTAAGATTGTGAAATAGAAATTATCGATTTGAGATACTACTGCTTAATGAAGAGGAAAGAAGTGGGTATAATCCATGAGAAGTATATTCAAGGAGAAGGGAGACTACACATTGAGAGACTTTTCCAAAGACTAGGGGATTGAGAAGGAGGAATGAGGGAGGAAAGAAATAAGCTATCTCAGTAGTTTTGGAGTTAGTGATGAGGACATTTGAGAGAACTTAATTCAGACGGCTTCAGTATGTTTGCTCAGGACATTAGATTATCACTGCCCTTGATATTACTGGAAAGAGAAGTGAGTGCAATAATTGGGGTAAACCACAGCAACTCGTTGCTGTACTTTGTATCACACGTCAAAAGTACAGGTTAAATTTATATTTGATCATCAAATTCATTTGAACTAAAGAACTTTTAACTGTTTTTGTTAAGAAAGCTATTTTTTAATTAGATACCTGTTCCATAAAAGTACTCGAGAGACTAGCATGGTATACCCAATCACAGTAATTTCAGAAACAAAAAAAGTACAGGATTTATTCTTTGAATAACAAATGTTTTCAATAAACATTGTACTGATTTTGAAATATAAAAGGTTATTAGAATGAAGGTGAAATTTTTATTTTTTGCAATAAATATTTACACATTGAAAGCTGCTTATACGTTATTTTGTGATGTGTTTTATATCCCATCTTGCATGAGGGGATCAAGAAACTTTTAAGACAGGGCCAAACTACAGGATACAAGCAATGTACACAGCAGTATCCCACCTTGTAATTTAAAAAATATGTATATTTATATGAAGTGTTATTCTATGACTGAACTGATGAATTTGGAATGGTTTATCTGATGAGAAATGAGTATGTTCAACTGAACTGTAATCACAACTGTAGAATTCCTCACTTAGAAGACTATGATGAATACTTACAGGATAATGGTATAAATGAACTTGTGTTGCAATAACGATACGCCACACCATTTGCCAGTCATCTTTGATATTTATCCTTTCAGGGTCATGATGGCTATTCTTATTGAAGATCTTTTTTTAATCATTGCAATATGTGCACTTTTGTAATTTATAGTTAGTTGAAATAAAATATTTTGACACCTTAAATGCATGTCTTATGAAATTCACATTATATAAAACTTTTATCTAGGGAAAGATAGGATAAAGGAAGATAGCATATAGCTCTGCGAATCTTACAAGGTGAAAAGAAATTTGTCAGAATAGTAGAGGAAAACATTTCAGATATAAAGAACAGTGTACACTGATGGGATAAAGAGAAAGTCATATTGGAAATTATTAGTACTAAATAACAGGCTTAGTATGTTACAAAGATACTATTATAAAGTGAAGGAAAATATACAGTGTTAGTTTATCTGTTTCTTTTGGATTTTTAATTTTTTTTGTTTCTGACGGTTTTGTTCATTGATGCTGGGTGGATGAAATCGTGAGTGAAGCTACGAGATGATTGTATGGCTTGACTCTGGTGACATCTAGTGTCCTGCCAAGTGATTTGTTGAAGTTTTGTAGAATTAGAAGTATTTCTTAAAGAAGCAAATACTCCACTAGAGACTAAGCTTTATTTGAACTTTCATTTTATAAAAAAAGAAATATTTTTTATTCATGTTGGTAAAGACTATAGCTTTTGTCTGTTTTAAGTAGTTCATTTGAATGAAATTACGAATTTTTGAGCAGAACAAGACTTAAAATTGATGTCGGAGAGAGAGCAAGAAAGGCGTCAAGGATGTGAAAATAACCAGCCACAGGTATGTAAAAATTCAATTTCAAATTTCTGTTTTCCTTTGCTTGGCTAACATAGCATAGTTCAAATGAAGTTACCTTTGGCCTTTTAGAATCAGTTGATTATAATTTAATATTTAATTGAAAAACATTTTAATTGATTATACAACTGAAAATATTCTCAAAATTTATAGTGATTTACAGCTAATTTTTTCCGTTGGAAATGAAGCCAAAAGTTCCCGAATATTGTTTGCTGTTTATTTTTATAACATCCTAATAGAGAAGATAACATCAAATACTGAATTATAATTTTAAGCAATCAAAATTATGAACAATTTAACAGTGATGGCTGCTGACTTGGATTCATGTTAAAGGAGTGGTCATTGCTATTGGGTCAAAATTTGCAATTTTATTTATTACTGGTCACTAATATTGTGATTAAACTTGTATTCTCCATTGTGACTTATTTATTTTTTTAAGATGAAGTATTGCCCTGTGACCCAGGCTAGAGCGCAGTGGCATGATCTTGGCTCACTGCAACCTCCACCTCCTGAGTTCAAGTGATACTTCTGCCTCAGCCTCATGATTAGCTGGGAGTACAGGCACATGTGACTACCCAGCTAATTAATTTTTTGTTTCTTTAGTAGAGACAGGCTTTCACAATGTGGGCCAGGCCAGTCTTGAATTCCTGACCTCGTGATCCGCCCGCCTCAGCCTCCCAAAGTGCCGGAATTACAGACATGAGCCACCGTGCCTGGCCCGTGATTTTTAATTTGAATTTTGGTATCTCTGTTCAGGGAGAGAATAGGGTCATAAAGTCAACCCAAATGACTATCAATAGAACCGGACTTTGCAGAATGGGAGCTTTGGTGTTAGGGTACAAACAGTAACTTTGTAACTTATGTCTATATGGCAAATCTGTGTTGTTAAAAATTTTTTAATCTGCTGTCATTAGTGGACCTTAGAATATATTGAAATTTGACTTAAGACGATAGTCTATATAGAACAGCTACATAACACTATCATATTACAGTATATAATTTGAATTAAATTGTAAGAATTTGCCTTTGTTTCTGACTAGTTTTGATTTTGATATCTATTAAAGATTGTCTACTCACCAATTAGTAATCTTTGGGAAAAAAGCACTCAAGTGTGCTACTGTTTGTTGAGTATCACTATTTCAGGTACAGAGAGAAAATCGTCCTAAGTGAAGATGCCTTTGTAATACTGCAAACGACCTTTTAATTCATTTTTGGTAAATTAAACACATAATGAATTAATCTTAGTCCAAACAGTTACAAAGTTAAGATTGATGGTTTATATTTTTCCCCTCTTTGAGGCTAATGCAAATTATTTTTAACTTATTAATGACAATCCTGTGATTGGGAGTAGGTAAACATAGATTAAGAAGTTTAAGAATTAAATTTTTATTTTTTTTAAATTTTGTGTTTCCATTCTTGATTATTTAATGACAAAGTTATCTAAAACATGCCCCCTGACAGAGAAGACATCTGACAAACTAGCAAATTAACCTTCCACTTTGTATCTGCAAAAAATGTCCACAAACAGAAGTGAACAAGTATGTAATAGCATATATCTCTATATGTGGCAATCCTTTGTGTGCAAAAATAAGAGAAAATGTGCATCCAACAAGGCACATGACGGTGGAAAAAAACTTTAAATCTCATCAAAATTGAGTTAAGGGAGAGTTTGAGTGAAATTTGTGAAGACTTCAAAACTTCTGATTGTTCAGAGGAGGAGACACTGCAGGAGGAAGAAATGTAAAGAACATACCCTCTAATTTGACAAATAATATATGTGATTGTCAGGAAAAAATGCATCTGGAGTACTTATCTGTGTAGTGTTCCAGATATTTTCTGAACAAAAATAGTTCAGTCTCATAAATGTCTTTCCATTCCATTTCTACTCTGGGTCCCCAGAATATGGTTGCCAGTCATCTTCTGATTTTTCTTTAAAAAACGGAAATAAAGTATGCTGTGAAAATAATAGCAAACCAGACACTATACATGTATTTAACACAGACCAGGAGAATTTTTATAATGACACAAAGTACAAAAGCAAGGAACCCAGAAGTAGTTACCATAGAAATAAAAGAAGAACAAGAGTGTTATAGGCACATGATGAAAAAATCCCCAAAATAGCACTAATTGCAAATTGGACATCAGAAATGTGCTGCCTCAGTGTAGTGATCCAAAAAACCTTTTAGATTTGTGGCTTACCTCCTCTAGAGAAATGAAGCATGTGAGTAAACAAAAAGGCGTGGTGTTTCTGTTGTTACAGACACAAGAATACAAAACCAGTAACAGAACTTGTTCCGGAAACCATTATATTATAATTGCAGTGCAAATAACTGAGGAAGAATAGAACTTGGATTAGTAAATGGGCATTCGTCACCACCACGTAGTGACAGAGCATCAGAAGTATATCTAGAAGAATAGTTACAGCACCATATACGAAGACTGAAGAATGAAGTAGTCATACTAAAACTAGAGTTCCTGACTTTGAAGAAAGAAAAAGTTCAACTTGAGAAAGACTTAGGGGGTCACTTGTTGCTACTTGTGTTTTTTCTTCTGATCAATTGGTGCATTCTAGTTTTTTACTTATGTAAAGCTCTTGTGTAAACTGGGGTTTCTAAATACATAATTATGTGTAGAAATAGAATATTTCTCTATTTAAATAATAGAAGCTCAGGACAACATTCTACAATCTTTGTTTCTTAATCAACCCAAGTCTATCAGTTTTCCAAGTGGCATGGGGACTGGGAAACTAATCTGTTCGTGTACCATGTATATGAATACTTCTAAACTAGGGTAAGCATACTATAAAGAATATAAATTATAAAGAATATATATTATTTATGTAAGATGTATATAATATAAAGATTTTAATATATAATATGCAATATATAATAAAGAATACAATAAGCTCTAGGATCTAATTTTTCCCTATTAAAGATGAAGTGTACTTAATAAAGTGGGAAATCAGTGGGAAGGAAGCAATGACTGAGAAGTGATATCAAAATGTTTCCTTGAGAGTTGGAACAAATATTCATAAAGGAAATTATGTTGTATGTTGTGCTTTGAGGTGTGCAAGTTGATCCATTTAATTCAGTATGTTGGGGCTTATAATTTCATCCTGATCACCTTAAATATGTTTGATAACCAATGTATATGGCTACATCTATTTTTTAATCACCACTCTTACATGTTTCTGTCAAATCAGCTTTCAACGTGATTTTAATAGAGTGTAAGTTTTAGCATGTATAACTTTATTATACAAGTACTATAGAATCTCAGCCAAAAATTTAGTTTTTGACTCCAAAGTAGAAACCTGAATTCTGTACATTGAGTCTGAAAGATAGACAAAAATCTGGTGATACTCACCTTTAAAAGTAAAAGTAGATGAGGCCTCTCAGCCCCTGCTGAGGTATTAAGTTACTTTCCCAGAGTGATACTTTTAATTCTTCTGGTTAATTTGATGAATTTATCAGGTAATGTATCTGAGCTTTATGAAATAGTATTGGGTTTTGTGCCATAAAATGCTAGGAAATGCCACTTTAGGAGCATTGGATGAGTCATTTAATCTTTTTTGATAATGGGGCTAAAGTAGATAATTACTTTCACTATTTCCCAGCTATAAAATGTCATGGTTACTGAATGTGAAATTCAGAAAGCATCTTAATTTTCCAGAGCTCTATACTAGCATCTCAGCAGTTCACTCTCCTTCTTCTGTTTTTTTCAAATTTTGGTTCCTGTATTTCAGCAAGCACCGTCACATTTTTGATATCCTAGGATCCAAATGAAAAAAGATGGACAGTGGGGAACGCTTACTGCAGAAAGGGAAAAGCTTCCTTTCTGTTCCTGAAGCCCCACAATGTCACATTCTCTCATTCTGACTGTTCGGGGTAAACTCCAGGAGGTAAAGATAGAAGAGGATAATTTCATGGTTTTGTCCTTTTATTTCTCTATTACTGCTCATCACAAGGGGGTGAAAATTTACATTAGACAGCAAAGAGTGGATGGGAAATAAAAGCACAAATTTGGAATGGGCCCTTTTTGAAAGTTTGGAAAATTTTATTGTATTCACTGAAACAGAAACGAATCCAAATTTATATGAATTTCGATGAAAAAATCATAATGTAATTTATCTGATAATTATATAATGATACAATGAAAGTAAGCATAAAATATTTTAATGACTTATGACAGACTGAGTCAAGTTATAAAATGAATGAAAACAAGTACTTTCTATTGGATAAAATAATGACTTTTTTTTCTTAGTGTCAAACTTTCATTGAAGGTTCCAGAAAACAGGAAGAAGTGCAGAAATAAGAAAATGGAAGTGTCAAGAAATCTGTATGCTGATGACAATGACCATGATGATGAATTAATTCAAGAAAGGAGGAGCAGAGAACCTGATAATCACCAGTTTCCCAGGCAGAAGAGCGAACAGTATTATAATAGGTAAGCCTATAGCAATCTTTGATAGATTATTTATTGTACTATCAAATGAATTCTAATTTCAGGTAATATGCATGGTTAATGAATTTCATACTTTCACTAGAGATATTTTGTCTTGCCTGGTAATCAGAAAAATGCAAATTAACAAGCAATTAGTTACAGTTTTTCCAAGCATAATGGCATTTTATTAAAAAACAACTAGCGTGGGCAAATGTGAAATAAAAGGTCGGTCGTACACTTGGTAAATCTTTATTGAAGGGTAGTTTAGTAGCATATTGTCACTTCTGAGACTGGATTCTGCAGGAAATATGACTTCACACATACACACAAGTTATGGGTATTTATTATATATTATATATAACATACAATAGGTCAACATATATATTCTGAGATATATCTGTGTGTGTGTGTATGTACATTGAGGTGTTTGTTAGAACACACACAGTGGCATTTTAGTAAAGTGTCACTCCTCTACTTAAAAAAAAAAAAAAAGAATTTTGATGAATTCTTAGGTTGAGGATGAGGCCGGGTATGGTGGCTCATGTCTGTTGTCCAAGCATTTTGGAGGCCAGGGAGGGTGGATCATTTGAGATCAGAAGTTCAAGACCAGCCTGGCCAACATGGTGAAATCCCATCTCTACCAAAGTATAAAAATTAGCTGGCAGTAGTGGCGCACCTGTAATCCCAGCTACGTGGGAGGCTGATGCAGAACTATCACTTGAGCTGTGATCTTGCCACTGCACTCTAGTCTGGGTGACAGAGCAAGACCCTGTCTAAAAAAAATAGTTGGATTTATTACCTTCTGTAGTAGGAGATCTGTGCTGGTGAGGCACAGTCTCTTTACTGGAGCAGCTGCTGATCGTTACGTAAGGTTTTTGGAAGACTGGACTTGTTGAAGGCTTGGCCGACTCTCACAGGCATAACTGGGTTGACATCATCTGGAGCAGTGTGGTTATCTGCATGAGACTGTTGTGGATTAGTTGGCGCTTCCAGGCATGCTGATGGGAGTGAGTTAGTCTCCGGATGTCTTTCAGAGGCAAGTAGCTGACGTTGGTTGGTGTTAGTGAGGCCAGTGGTCATTGATTGACTAGATTTAAAATGGGTTCAGGGGGGCACCTGTTACCATGGCTACAGGTCACCGTTTTCCTTAGTTTGTGGCAATGTTAATCAGATGTTTTCTGTTTGAAAGTTATCTTCTATCAACTATGCTCAAAATGAACAATATGTCATATTCCAGAATTATATACTTACTTTTGAAATTTGGGTCAAGAGAAATTGTTTAATAAATGCTCTCAGAAAGTTTTTAGAAGCTTAGTCTTAAACAGAAAATTCATCTACATGTATTTTTGGTAAATAATTGCTGGATTTATTTTTGCTTTTTTGTGTCTTTTGGGGTTCAGGCTGAACTCCTAACATAATAATCTCCGATGGGAAATTTCATCCTTTTTGTAAATTTATGTAGGTATATGATAGTGATATTCTTATGCATGTGTTTACTACAGAGAAAGTAATTACAATTTTCTACTGGTGAATCCAGCTTTTCATATTAGGAATAGATACTTCACGATAAGTATACAGAAGTTTTTAAATGATTCTATTTTCAAACAAAATCCTATCTAATCAGAATAGTGCTATTTTTGAACTATATATAAAGACATACAGGTATTTTAAAAATAAGTGTTTTTCCCTTTAAGGTGTTTTGTTTTTTTCAGGTTATTTGTGCCTCCTGGTATTTTGAAAATTCACGTGAAATGTATTAAAACAAAATCTATGGCACAAATCCAACTATGACCCCATGTCTGAGAGTCACTGCTTGCAGGCAGTGAGCTCCAGCCTTTTAGTGTAGCATTCAAGCTTAGTGTAACATTCTTCTCTCACTGTTTGCTTTCCTGTGTTTTACACTTTACCTTTCAAGTTCCCAGGAAACAACCGGATGTCATGTGCCTAATCCCTGTGCTCACATTCTATTCTTTATATATAATGGTTTTCTCCTACTCTTCTGGGTTTTGTTGTTGTTGTTGTTGTTGTTGTTTTTGGCCTGGTGAGCTCCTCTTGTGTTTTGCTTCTTACATAAAGTCTTTCTCATGCTCAGATATAAATTTTTCTAGATCAACTCTTACATATTGCATTGTGTCATAATTATCTGAATGCCTGTTTTGCTTTTTTTTCTGAGACAAAGTCTAGCTTTGTTGTCCAGGCTGGAGTGCAGTGGCACAATCTCGACTCACTGCAACCTCTGCCTCCTAAGTTCAGGTGATTCTCGGGCCTCAGCTTCCTAAGGATTACAAGCGTGTGCCAGCATTCCAGCTAATTTTTGTATTTTTGATAGAGCAAGAGTTTGGCCATGTTGGCCAGACTAGCCTCAAGTGATCCACTTGCCTTGGTCTCCCGAAGTGCTGGGATCCAGTGTGAGCCATCATGCCAAGCCTGCTTATCTGTTTTTGTTTTTTGTTTTGTTCTGTTTTTGAGATGGAGTCTCACTCTGTCACCTAGGCGGGAGTGCAATGGCGCGATCTAGGCTCACTGCAGCGTCCACACCCCAGGTTCAAGCAATTCTCTGTCTCAACCTCCTGAGTAGCTGGGATTACAGGTGCCTGCCACATGCCCAGCTAATTTTTGTATTTTTACAAAATACAAAAGAGGGTTTCACCATCATGCCAGGCAGGTCTTGAACTCCTGACCTCTTGATCCACTTGGCTTTGGCCTCCCAAAGTGCTGGAATTACAGCCACTGTGCCTGGCTGATTACTTTTGTTTTTAAAGCTGAGAATATACGTTTTCTTGTATGTGCTGGAACTTCAAAATGGGTTTTTGAATTAGTAAATAAATAGAGATGGAGAAGACTATGAATTTCACAATAAATTTTTTATTCTTTGTAAGTAGAATTATTAGAAAACATTGGCTTTTCAATAGGTTTGTTAAAGTAGTGATCATCCGTTGTATGGAAAGGAAGTAAAGTAAAAGATTTTAAAATACACCTCAAAAGAACCTGTGATTACACCAGTGTTTGAGAAGGCCAATGTATGTATGGGTGTTCTACCCAGTCTAGAAGACTATTAGTCTTCTAGGAAAACAATGATAGCGGTTTTAGTGACATGGTTAAGGATGAAGGAGGATAAAATGTCTAATTTTCTTATTTCCCTGTGAAGGAATATTAGAAGTGATTCCTTTCTCTGGAAATAAACTAGTGTAGACAGCCTAATCTAGAGAATAGTCAACTGTATCATTGCTGCTGGAAGATTAAGATGATTAGTGCCTTTGTCAAGGAGGAGTTTCAACTGGTTGCCATGGAACCCTGACTGTTGTGGCTGAGCACAGAAAACATTTGAGAGAACTTTGACCTCAAAACGGAGTAGAGGAATGGGGTGACAAGTAAAGAAGAAAAATGTGAGATTCAAAGGACTTTTGTTTCTTTTTCTATTTCGGAATGGAAGCTGTTAGAGTCTTCTTGTTTGCTGTTTCAAATGATCCAGTAGAGAAGAAATGTGTCTTTGGAATTTAGTTTCGTTTGCATGTCTGAGCATTGGAAAGTTTGATCCATTCTCTTTTAAATATTTATAGTAAATCAATTATTCTTACAATTTCTATTCATGTATCATTTTATCGGAAGAGGTTTTTCTTTCAGAATTGGTTCAGGAATGGAATATTTTAATGTAATGGTACATGAAAATAATCTAAAAGTTAAACTCACATGCATTTGTTTTTAGAAATTCTGTAATAAACACAGACACTTTGGTCATATTGAATAGAATTTAAACATCCCTTGATGATTTATATATCACAGTACCTTTGAAAGTAGTATCATGAATAGCTGTGCTTTAACAAGGTACTCTAAAATACAGGTGTGTCACCTTTCTGGTTTTTCAGATTCTGGGGAGGGGGAGGCTTTCTAATGAATAATAGAGAAGGCAAGCTACTGAAATCGTTCACTGCAGACTGTAACTTTTGGATTGTATAGTTCAAAGGTTAAAAAAAAAAATGTTTCTCTGGACCAACCGAGTCTTTCACATGTATTGTACATTCAGTAAGTGTTGGTTGAATGCATAAATTAATAGTTGAATGAATGATGAATGTTTTTTGGTGAATTTCTTTAGAGAAACAAATTTTCAGTTTATTAAAAGCAGGTTTCCAAAACTGCATAGGTATAAAATCTTATTTTAAAAAATTGCAAGATTTAGAGATTATTTGTAATCATAGAAAGAAATGGAAAGATAATACAAATATATCTGCTATTACTTGTAAATACTTGAAAATAAATATTTTATAGCATATTATAGAGTATCCTGAAAAATGTATTTTGGAGCCAGAGTTCTTGGGTTTAAATGCTGAGTCTGCTACTGAGCAGTTTTATGGGCTTGGGCAAGTTATATGGCCTTTCCATGCCTGCTTTCTTCCTTTGTCAAATGCTTAGTATGCTGTCTACTTCACAGAATTGTTAGGAGGACTGAAGTGACTTAAATACTTGTATGTGGTTTAGAATAGTACACAGTACCTTCACAGTATGTTTTGAAAAGCTCATCAATGTCATTTTAAAAAGGGTTTCTGTTACATAAGTAATATTTTTCAAGTAAATCTAAACAATTAAAGCTTGTTTGTATAGAAAAGGACAACAAGGCCGGGTTCAGTGGCTCACACCTGTAATCCTAGAGCTTTGGGAGGCTGAGGCGGGTGGATCATCTGAGGTCAGGAGTTCAAGACCAGACTGGCCAACATGGCGAAACGCCTGTCTCTACAAAGAATACAAAAAACAAAAGTTGGGCATGGTACAGGTGCCTGTAATCCCAGCTACTCAGGAGGCTGAGGTAGGTGAATCACTAGAACGCTGGGCATGGAGGTTGCAGTCAGCTGAGATCATGCCATTGCACTCCAGCCTGGGTGACAGAGCGAGACTGTGTCTCATAAGAACAAAAACAAAAACTGGTTGGAGGGACAATAGAAAAAGCTAGTGTATGGTAATATATTTTTTCTATGAAGTAAAGCAAGTAACATGGTTTTTCTTTTTCTTTGGCTGTCAGAAAACTTGATCTAAACTTAATGTTTTAGTAGTAATAATACTGTATTATCCTGTAATTCTTCCCATTGCATTTATAGTTTTATCCCCTTGTAGAAAACAATTGTATTTTACATCACCAGTGAAAAATTACCTATAAATTTCATGAATAGGAGTGAGAAATTACAAATGGAGGTTTTATATTAAAAAGTTATGGGTATTCTTTGTATTTTACATACTGTTTGCCTGATTGGAATTTTTTTTTAGCTTTGCAAAGAAAATACGTAATGGAAAGAACAAAGTTAGACTTATTGGACTTTTTCTTCATGTTCTGATTGGTTATAAGAGTTGCTCTGATCCAATCAGAACATGAATAAAAAGTCCAATCAGAGTAGGCCTAGAGGTTTTTCTCTCATCCAATCAGAACACGTAGTACATAACCTCCATATATAAAACATGCTGGAGTGGTGGGGGGTGTTGGGCCATTCCAGGTTCTTCTGTGGCTGCCTGCGCAGCTGTTCTATTCCCAACTAAGAGAAGGAGGCACCACCTGCTGCATGCTGGTGGCTGAAGCCTGGGGGACTGCGGCTAGCCTCGTTGGAGCAGCAACAGACACTGCAGCTGGCCAGAGTGTAGAAAGGTGATGAGGTAGGTGTGCTATGCAGGGCTGCACGGCCTGCAGCCTGGGGCTGGTTGGGGGTGCTATCTCAGGGGTCACTGCACGCCTTGGGTGACTGGTTGGGTGTGCTATCCAGGGCTGCGCTGCCTACACCAGGGTGTAGGTTGGGGGCCCTATCCGGGGCTACACTGCCCTCCACGGGGAGCAGTTTAGAGGCACTGTCCCGGATTGCAGTGCCAGCAGCAGTGAGGTGGGCTGAGGGTGCTATCTGGGGCTGCTCTGCCTGCAGGGGTGTTTGAGGGGGTTCGGGTTCTGGGTACTATCAGGTGCTGCAATGTCCACGGTGCGGGGAGGATGGTGGTTTGAGTGTGTTGGGTGTGCTATTTGGGGGCTACATTGCTGGTGTCAGGGGGCAGGATGGGATGGGAGCTATTTCAGGGGCTGCACTGATTGCTCTAGCTAGGATTTCCAGCATTATAATAAATAACAATAGTGACAGTGTGTATCCTTATCATGTTCCCAATTTTAGAAGAAAGGCTTTCCATTTTTCCCCATTCCATGTGATTCTAGCTGTGGGTCTCTCTCATGTGGTTTTTATTGTGTGGGTTTTTGAGAATTTATAGCATGAAGGGATGTTGAATTTCATCAAAGGTTTTTTCTATTTCAATTGACGTGATCATACAGTTTTTGTTGTTTATTCAGTTGATGATGATGTATCACATTGATTGCGTGTTGAATGGCCCTTGCATCCCAGGGATAAATCCCACTTAATCATGAGGAATTATCTCTTTAATGTGTTGTAGAATTTGATTTGCTGGTATTTTGTTGATGATTTTTGCATCAATATTAGAGATACCAGCCTGTAGTGTCTTTTTTGATGTCTTTGTCTGATTTTAGGGTCAGGGTAATAAAGGCCTCATAGAATAAATTTGGAAAGGCCAGGCATGGTGGCTCACACCTGTAATCCCAGCACTTTGGGAGGCCAAGGTGGGCAGATCACGAGGTCAGGAGATAGAGACCATCCTGGCTACCATGGTGAAACCCCATCTCCACTAAAAATACAAAAAAATAGCCGGGTGTGGTGGTGGTCGCCTACAGTCCTAGCTACTCAGGAGGCTGAGGCAGGAGAATGGCGTGAACCAGGG